GTGACCATCGTAGACTTAGATCATGGGGAACTTTTGGCATCCTAGACTTGTTGCTCTTTCCTCTTTTGTACAGTTTATGTATTTTGTATTTTGATTAGCTGCTGTATATAGTTCTTTTTGTTTTTAGTCACTCTTGTACCAATGATGCCAAGTAAAGGATTGATTCTTATATATAGTTTTGTCTTTCTCGATAACTTTCGGGACTTTTATTATATATTTTGTATCGCCTTATACATAGCTATGATATGACCCCCTCTTCTACTTGTTATTTCTTCTCTGTAGTTTTGTTTAAGTATATTTATTTCTTTTTTCTTAAGATTTTTACTTTTGGAGATTTATAGTAAGAGCCCCCAAGGCTGATTTTGGATCATGACGATTGAGGTGTTGTCTGATCGAAATGTTGCAGCCTTCTAATTTTGATGTACTTTGTTTCATTGGTGGAACTGTAAGTAGCGACTTTTCTTTTTAAATTTTATGATTACAATATGCATTTTTTGATGGTAACAATTGTTTGTGAGGTGCTGAGAACACTTATTGGATCGTTGTTAATTGATGTTTTCATTTGTGATACAATGCTCTGTTTATCAACATGAGATTGATAAACTTGAATAAATAATAGAAGAAAAAGGATTGACATAAGAAAACTTGAGTAAAAATATTTTTATAAGTGAACAAGTGTGTATAGTTTTACACCAAGTGATTAAATATATTTGAAAAAAATTGAAATATTTGTTCAAAATTAAATTTTCAAAAATACATCTTATATCAATCGAAAAAGAGAAGATTAAACGGAACTGATCTATTAACCAGATTCAACTAAATATAGTGGACTTTTGAATGAAGATCTTTGAATTAATGTCGAGAAGTTTTAATTATAGAAAGGAGATAAGAACAAGCAAATAATGCAAAAAACTCTTAACATTTTTCACGTGGAAGTAGTCATGTGAATAATGCTCCCAAAATCTCAAATATGAAAGAAGAAAAACATGTTTAATAAAGATATGGCAATGTTCATCCTGGAGGGAGGGGTGGGGTGGAGGTACCTAAATCCTCAAGGAATTGAGAGAAGTCGTGAATTATGATAATCTAAATATTTCACTGTTTTGTCTTCTAGTGCAAGATATTTATTAATTACATCCTCATCCTAGTTGTAAATTTATCTATAGCCTCAATTGAAATTATTTAGCAGATCAAAAAAAGCTATCACCTCAATTGTATCGATCAATGGATCGGAAGGCTCCATCCCTCAATTTTATTGATTTTCAAATTGATTCATCCTTCCTTATCCCCCACATTTGTGCTTTTCAATTGTAACATTCCTACAAATCTGCCTCCTACCCAGATCAGTCTTTTCTCCTCAGTAATAACGGTTTGAAGATCTACTCCGAATGTTAATCCTCCTAATTCGTCATTTCATTAATTTTTTCATTCAGGTAAGTTCTTTCTTCTTCTTTTTTTACTTAAATTTGACCACATTCATGTTATGCAATTTTTTTTTAATTGTTGGTGATGTTCTACATTAATTTTATTTTAATTAAGATATAGATCGTTGTTTTATATTTAAACTTTTTATGAAATTGTTATGAACTTCTATTTGATAAGCTTTGTTGATTGAATTCTCATGTATACATTTAATAAATGTCAGTCAAATTAGCTACATATGAATTTTAAACTAGTTTTATGGACTATATGAGTCCTCTATGTATGTTTGTTTAACTTGTACATCGGATTTAAGAATAAAATAATTTGCATACCCTTTGAAAATCATCTTTATAAATTTTAGAATATCCTCTACCTAAAAGAATTAAAAAAAAAACTTGTTTTTTTACTCATTTTTCTTAGGTATATTTTGAGAATTAGTGAAGTAAGTTCTTGTAGTAGTGTGACTTTTGTAGATAAAACATGGGTCAACTTTATTCCATATAGTGTTAATAGTGCTTCGCTTACGCTATCTCTAGCTACTCTTGATTATCACGTTAAATTTTTCAAAATTGAATCTTAACATATTTCAAAGGAAATGCATTTTATTTAAAACATTCATTCTTTCAAAGATTTAGAGTGGCTTATAATCTATGTTTTTTTTTCATCAGTAGAATTCTTGGTATCTTGTTGCTTCTTAATTTTATCATTAATGTTATTTTCAAGTTTTCAAGTTATGTGGGACTTCAATCCTAAGTCACTATTTGTAGATTTAATGAAACCTTTCTTATGTCTATAATATAATTTATGAGCTCTTATAAAAAGCGGGGGAGGGGGGTATAGTTTTAGGTATGAACTAGGGATTATGGTTTGTTCAGTTAGATGTTATAGTTAGTATCAGCCTCTTGATATTTAATTTAGTCCAGATGCAAGTGATACTTAAAATAATATTTTCTAATTTATAAACTATGATTCTTACAACTTTCGGGCATTTATTTATATTTCATAAATTATTTATTTAAATAAAGATTTACTTTTGTGTTTCACATAGATCTCTCGGTAATGGAAACATCTTTTATAGAGTTAGATGATTTTTAGTTAAAGTTATTTTCATATTCTTTCTAAATGTATGTGATTGTATGTCCACTTATTGATTTTTCATATTTTATTTTTTAGGTCTTCCCTTCAAATGTGTAATGAAGAAAACGAAAAGAGTCACTGATAATCACTTGAAACGCATTTTTATATACTGGTGTGTTTCATGTAAATTACAATAATACCTAATTGGGACATATATAAATTGATGTAATTGTATGTCATTTTAGACTCACAGAGCACGTGAAAGCTATATTCTATATTCTTATAGAACTTCTCTATGTAAAACAATAGTTATCAGCTTATTTTTCGTGTTTTCTTAAAGTTAGTATGAAAGAAATGAGAAAAGGGTACTTCATTATTTGGAAAAAAAAAATCATTATATTGATGTGCTTCATTTAACTATGTACATAGCTTTACCAATATATAGATTGACATTGTTGCTTCATTGTGATTTCAGGTTCAGGAAGCATTACAATAATTTGTTTGGACTTAATTAAATCACTGAACTTCTAAAAGAAAAGAAAGCTAACGGCAATGTCGCGTCGTACTAGTACAAGAAATATCATTTTGCGAAATGAGGCCACTTATCAATATGGTCATGTAAGAACTATGACCTCTACTGCACGTAGTTCTAGAATTTCCTATGTAAGACCAGGAATCCGTCTCAATGGTATGGTACTCAATATTTCGGGATATTATTATTCCTCTGATGGGAGCTTAACTATTGTTTTGGCTAATGGAACAAACATATACCGTGTTACCATTGTTCCAAGAAATCGTTTTTCCTATTGGATTCCGAATGAAATGCTAACAAATACAATGACTCCTGTCCTACCAAATATGAATAATTTATGGAGCTTGCCTTATCCTGTGATGAATTATGCCTCAAGATTTGCGGATGTGAACCATGGACCAAATCGTATGCCATTTCCACTACATCCTGCCAATTTTCATACGGTTAGTTTAGTCGTCTTCTCTTTTTTAGCTTTATTTTTCTTTTTAATCATAAATTTATTGCAATCTTCATATAATTAGTTTTCTCATACTCATACTTAATTTAATTACTAACTTAGAATTATCATGCTATAAGTATGTTTTAATGTTTAGATGTAATTATTTTTAATGATTGGGTTGTGTTAATTGTTAAATCTCCATAGTAATAAGTACTAATTTGCTTTTATGTTAAGGAACCATGGTTCAACTATAGGTAGTTGTTGAGGTGTAGAGAACCATTCTGTGCATATGCATTCCACTCCATAGTTTGCTAATCTATTAGCGACATGATTACCTTCTCTATAATAAGTATGGTGAATGATAGTAACTTCAAAATTTTGTATCACCCTCTTAATATGTTGGATATCATCCCAAATGCTCCAGGAGGTTTAGAAGTATAAGTAATCCATTGGACAAGTAACAAAGAATCAGTCTCGACTTCAACCTTCCTGATGTTATTAGAGCAACACCATTCTAGTCCCTATAGCATATATAGCATTAGTTTCAACTTGATTATTAGATACTTCACCCAGATTGAAGGCATAGGCTGCAATCAACATTCCATTCTCATCTCTGGTAATACCTCCATCACTACCAGGGCCTGAATTGCCCCTGGAAGTCCCATCAGAATTTAATTTTAAGAAGTCATGTCCAGGTTTCCTCCACTTTATCGCCATGATAGTATTAAATGGTTCGACATTGAAAATTTCATCATAGAGCTTATTTTTTTATATTTCAACTAATTAATTTATCTTTTTACTTCTGATATAAGTTTATTTTCTAAAACATGAATATTTCAAAATATAAGATATTTTTTTTCAAAATATGATCTATATATAATTTTAACTAGAGTTAAATGGTAAATAATACATTTGAAATATCAGATATTATTTTGTTGATTGCCTAATGTGATTTGCATCTTTCTTGGATAGCCTATGGGTAGGTTTTTGCTTCTGCATGAATCCTTAAAACTAACTTTTAATACAGAAAAAGATAATGAAAAAATTTATCACTTGACAAGAGTTTCTTAAATGATAATGGTTGTTCAATTTTATAAAATTTCCATGCCTAGTTGATTTTTCCTTGCCAAGCAAATTATGTATATTTGATCTGTAACATTTACTTCTTTTTAGAGATTATAACAAGTTGTATGTGACATTTTAGGTACAAAATTTCATGACTCAAATTTTTCATGTTTGAGTTATGATAAAATAATGGACAAATAATAGTATAATTTATTTTTCTTTATGAAATAATTTCTTCGTACAAACTATGATCTTGAATTTAGGGTTTGTTGGCCCGTCAAGATCAGACTGGAAATGTTAATAGGGGATTGAGCAGAGAAGTCATTTTTGCACGTATGAATTGCGTCATGTATCAGTCAACTGAAATATCTACAAGTGATGAGGATACATGTTCTATTTGTTTGGTAAAGACTTTATTTTCATTTGATTGTCTCCTCCTATTGCTTAAGGTCTAGTCATGTAAGTTCAATTGTTTTCTTGATTTTGTAGGATGGCTTCTCTGATGGGCAGATTATTGGAAGCACTGACTGTCACCACACCTTTCACTTTGATTGCATCAATCAATGGCTCATGCAAGTGAATTCCTGCCCCATTTGCAGAAGGACTGCATTGGCAGTCTAAATATTCCAAACTAGAATTTTATTACTAGAACTTTTTCATTATGTGCTTGTCAATTTGACAGTTAACTTGTAAAATGTATATTGAGCATTTTGTGTACTGAAATGGTTTGTTTAAAATATTATGATCGATATGTGTTTTCAATGTACCCTTTGCATCCTGGAGGAGGTGTGTAGTTTCTTATGCTATGAAAAAAATATGTTGTTTGATGATACAAACATAGAGTTAACATGTTGTGCTCACTAATTACTTTTCCTAAAATAGAACTAGTTGAGATAGAATGAGTTTGCACGTCCACTTGAGGTGCATGTTCATTTTACTTTATTAACTGAGGACTTATTGGAAACAACCTTTCTAACTCATAAGATAGAGGTAAAATTTGCATACATTTTATCCTTATCAAACTTCAATTATGGGATCATATTCGATGATGTTGTTATATATTCTATGGTGCTCCCTAGTAGCTTAATTTGTTTATTACAATTGTCTAACCTCTCAATTTCCCTTTGTTTAGGTATATTATATGTTGGGGATTTTAATTCTAGGAAGATCTTTTAAACCCTGATATGAGTTACAAAGTTAGTAATATGCAAAATGAAGGGTTTGTTGTGTGTTGAAATGGTGGTAAAACCTTGTGTTCATGTTGATTAACAAATGGTAATTGAATGAAAGATAAATCGTTAGTACACATATGGATGGAGTCCTGTTCAGTTAAAATTTTACATCCTTCATTTATATGGCATTTATGTTATTTACACTTATAAAAAGGAAAAAACAAATTCTCATTAGCAGATAACAAAGGCCGTTTCATCTAATCATTAATGACAATGTAATGGAAATGTCCTCCATTTAAGGAAATGGTCTATTTTGGACATTTTTGTTCTTTTTATCTTATTTTTGCTTTTTGGCAACTTTCGTTCTTTTGATCTTTTAATGTCCCTTTAATCCTCAATATCGTATAATACCAAAATTAGTTATGTTCAAAGGGTGTATTCAATAATTTTCTCTTGTACGGTACTTTCTCTATATGGCACAATCCAAAAACTCAGGACATGATGACACCTACTAGCATCCCATCAGTAGGTAAACCGAATTGATAGACAGAAACAAGAAGTAATGGGTTATCATGCCGAAGAGAAGAATTCAGAAAAAAAAGAACAAATATCAAATTAAAATAAGAGGCGAACTGTGCACCTTTATCAAGCTTTGTACCCTTATGATCCTCCATATGACTCCAAAAATGAGAGGTGAATTGTGCACCTCTATCAGGCACAATAGAAATGGGCAGTCCATGCAACCGAACAAATTCACGAATGTAGATCCTAGAAAATTGCTCTGCATTATAGTTAGTCTTCACATGAATGAAATGAGACGAATTGGTCAACCGATCCACAATAACCCAAATAGAATAAAATTCACCCAAAGTCAAGGGTAATCTAGTTAGGATATCCAAGGTAATGCACTCCCACTTCCACATAGGTATGGGCATCCTTTGAATCGTACCGCCCGGTATCTGATGCTCATACTTCACTTGTTGACAGTTCAAGCACTTGAAAACAAAGTCCACAATATCTTTTTTCATACCACACCACCAATAATGTTGCTTCAAATCGTGGCACATTTTTGTTGCCCTTGGGTGAATAGAGTATTTCGAACAATGAGCATCCTCTAATATCATACGCACCCAACCACCAACTCCAGGAACACAAATACGGCCACAAATCCTCAAAATTCCCTCGGGATCAAAAGTCACCGACTTGGCTTCACCTCTCAACACCTTATACCAAATTGCTCTCAAATTGTCATCCTCAACTTGGTGGGCACGAATCTGATCCATCAATGTAGACCTAGCCTTTAACGAAGGTTAAAACATGGTGAGGTAAAGAAATATTAAGTCGAACCAACTGTCTAGCCAACAACTGAACCTCTAAAGCCAAAGGTCTCTCCTCCACCTTAAGAAAGACTAAGCTACCCATACTAGGTTCCTTCCAACTCAAAGCATCCGCTACCATGTTTGCCTTTCCCGAGTGATAAAGAATGGTGATTTCATAGTCCTTCAATAGTTCCAACCATCTACGCTGCCTCATTTTCATATCTAAGAAAAGAGATACTTAAGGCTATGATGATCAGTAAAGACCTCACAATGCACACTATAGAGATAATGCCTCCATAACTTCAAGACGAAGACCACTGCCACTAATTCTAAATCATGAGTAGGGTTGTTCTTCTCATTCACCTTCAACTATCGAGAAGCATAGGCTATGAATCTCTCTTTTTGCATCAACACACCCCTTAGGCCAACACTCGAAACATCACAGAATACCACAAATGTCACAACCTCCTCGGGTAATGTTAAGATAGGTGTTGAGCTCAATAACTCCTTGACCTTTTGAAGTCTTAACTCACACTCATCGGTCCACAGAAACACCACATGCTTCTGAGTGTACTTAGTCAATGGAGTTGCGATGGAAGAGAAACTTTGAATGAACTGACGATTATTGCCTGGTAACCCGATGAAACTTTGTATCTCTGTTTGGAAAGTAGGTCTCACCCAATCACAAACTACCCTAACCTTGGCCGGATCAATCATAATACCTTTCTTGGTCACCACATGACCCAAGAAAGCCTCGGACTCAAGCCAAAACTCGCACTTGGAGAATTTGCATACAACTTCTCTCTCAATCTCTAAGGTACAGTCCTCAAGTGACGAACATGATTGATCTCATTCTTGGAATAAACCAAGATATCATCAATAAACATAATCACAAAAGAATCCAAATAAGGCCAAAATACTCAGTTCATCAAGTCCATAAAAGCGGTCGGAGGATAAGTTAGTCCAAAGGATATGATTACAAACTCATAATGCCCATAATGAGTCATGGAAGTTGTCTTCGGTATATCAAAATCCCGAACTCTCAATTGATGGTAGCCAGACCTCAAGTCAATCTTGGAGAACACTAATACACCCTAAAGTTGATCAAACAAATCATCGATGCGGGGAAGATGGTACTTATTATTGATCGATCGTAGTCTTGTTCAACAATATATAATCGATGCACATCCTCATACTACTATCCTTTTTTCTTCACAAATAAGACTAGTGCACTCCATGGTGACAAACTAGGACGAATAAACACTTTATGCAACAAGTCCTCCAGTTGAGCCTTCAATTCCTTCAACTCCACCGGAGCCATCCGATAAGGAGATATGGAAATGGGCTTGGTGCCCGACTCCATGTCAATCAAAAAGTTGATGTCACGGTTAGGAGGAACACTTGGTAAGTCGGTAGGAAACACATCTATTAACTCTTTCACCACTCTCATTGTCTCGAAAATAGATGGATCTTTCGTAAGATTGTGAATATGTGTCAAATCAGATAAGCACCCATTTTCCATCATATGATAGGAACAAAGAAAAGATATCACTCCCTTTGGATATTAACTCTGAGCACCCGCACCCTTCTACACCAATTGAGGTAAAATGGGGTAAAATCAAGACACTATCTTTGTATAATAATATAAGATTGCATGGAGGGGAGATAACCAGTTCATGCTCAATATCACATCAAAATCAAGTATATCAAGTAAAATCAGGTCTGCCTGAGTCCCTCTATCAAAAAATGCCATAACACACCTCTGATACATCTGATCCACCACTAAGGAATTGTCTACAATAGTTGAGACGCTAATAGGCACAACAAGGGACTCACATATATGATCAAGACCCACAACCAAATAATTAGACACATAAGAGTAGGTCAACCTGGGATCAAATAATAATGTAGCAGAACAATGACAGGCTGGGATAGTACTTGTGATCAATGCATTTGAGGCCTCTGTCTCGGATCTACCTCGTATAACATAGAGTTGTCTATGGTTACCACTAGTTTGAGAGCCACTACGAGCACTATGTAGAGCTCCCTAAGCTCCTCTCTTAGTACCCTTGGTACAACCTCTAGTACTCTATGAAGTACCACACACCACTGTAGATGGCGTAGAACGAATAGCATGTGATCCTGACTAGACAATATAAGAGAAATGTCTAGGGAAATCCTTTGTGTTGTGCTCAAACTCCTCATAAACAAAAATAAAACATGAGGACCTAAACCCCATTGAGAGTAACTAGAAGAGTCTACACACCATCCCTGACTTGAAGAGCCACTATGCATGCCTTGACCGATCTGACTAGGCCTTGATCTGCTAACACCATATGTACTCTAAATAGCTACCAGTACTGGTCTACCCTAATAACCCTGTGAGCCCTAACCTGAATAATCTCTACCTCTAAATGAATAACCGTTGAACTGGCCCTAGCGATAAAACCTCTTGGCACCGCTACCCTGTCTAGCGTGCTGAATACTCTCGATCATCCTGGAATGACTAATATTACTCTAGAACGTACCACCTGATAACACAAGAGAAGTTGCGACCTCTTGAAGATAATTGGCGAACACCCTTACCAACTTACAAATCTACTCAAACTCTGTGGGAATACTCGATATTGCATAATGGGACAGCTAATAGAAATGAGCTCCATACTTATAAACTAATAAAGAGCCATGCTCCAATTTATCGAACTTATCCCTGCACTGATATCTAAGGCTATAGGGAAAAAACCTCTCAAAGAATACCTTAGTAAACTTCTCACAACCCATAGCAGAAGAATCAACGGGCCTACAAGCAAGAACTAATCTCCACCACTCCTTGGCCACTCTTGAAAATTAAGAAATGTAAGACACCCCATGAACACTTTTTAAATTCCAGAAGTAGAGGAGCCTATGTAGAAGAAGTTGTGGAAGAGCACCACCACGGTTCAGGTCCCGACACATGGGGAATTAATTTAGGTGCAAGGATCGTGAATCAAGGGAAGAATGAGACCATAATTTGGAAGTCACCCCCGATCGAGACCTAGATAACAACCTAACTGAGTATGTCATAATGTCCGTATCATGGTGAAGATAAGGTAAGGTTGTGATTTTTTCTTAAAAAATAAAACGAACGCCTTCGAGTTATTGGCTCATCCAACCCAGAAGCATTCATGAGTCGCTAGTTCAACTGTCCCTCGGAGACAGGGTCAAGAAGTACCATGCATGGTTTCCCCCGTCCTCTAAGATGCCCAGGTCGAACAACATATCCTGGAACACAATGAAGAAGTCAAAAACCTCATCTCCATCTGAACTATCAAATCCAAGAGGTCCCAATCTAACGAATCTCTCTCAAAACTTTTCTGCTCGGTAACCGACCATATTTGCACCAGTAGAAAGAGGTGGAGCTACAAATCTCAAAACGGCCAAAGAAGGAACTAAAGAGGAATCAGGAGTCTGAAATCCCATACTTAGCCCCTGAACTGACGGTGTAGCACCAACTATAATAGGAGAACCAGTAGTAACCGGCCAGATACCAAAAGTAGGGGCACTATCCAATGTAGAAAATAACCTGCCAATCAACTCTTAAAGCATCAGAGTGTTGTTGAGAACCAAGAAAGGATGGGTTGGTCCCCTCTCTTCATTATGCAGCTCAATAACATCATGATGGTCATATACAGTGTGAGGTGATGTCTCACTTGCTCTTCCTCGAGCAGGTGTTTCCCCTCTCGCTCGGCCATTACCCCTAACTCCACTACATCTCTTACCTCATCTAAAAACTGTGGCTCGGGCAGCAGGTACTGGCTCTAGTCCTCGCCATCTACGTATAGAGAATAGTTTAGAGGTATGCAATACTTGATATGAATAATTCACACAAAAGGAATCAAAGGAAAGAAATTTCTCCTACTAGGTATCTTGTAGCCTCTCGAAAATAAGTACGAACGTCTACGTACGGATTTTGAAGACTCTACAACACACCTTGTTGTTTAACTTATGGAATAGGTGAATCGTTCACTCTAATACCAAATTGTCACGACCCAAAAGTCTAGGTCATGATGGCACAAACATTGAAAACCCAAAAATAGTGTGTATGCCAAAATAAATAACACATACGATATTTCCAAATGGAAGTTAGGCCACAACCGATAAGAAAACAACAAAGAAGTTCCTAAAACATGTATCATGAGTATAAAGAGCATTCAATACATTTGTAGATTCTAATGCAGTAGGGTCGGTATTGCTTAGGCATCGAGGTATCTTAAGATGCATGAGCACAACTACCCCACTCATGACTGTAAGTTGGCAATGGTAGTGTTTTGTCTCAAGATCTAGAGGCACTACCTATATGGATTTCGTTGCAAGATCTACATTTTTCAGAGGAGTCTTTAGTATATTATGAGTTAGAGGGACCTTAATTCTAGGTAGCATTGTTGGATTGAGCTTCTCAAGTACTATGACCTCTCTATTCTCTACCATCATGGCAAGGAGAATGTGGTAGCAGATGCTTTGAGCCAACAGGCGGTGAGTATGGGTAGTGTAGCCTTCATGTCTACTATTGAGTGACCTTTAGCTTTAGACATTTATTCCTTAGCTAATCAGATGATTCAATTAGATATTTCAAATTCTAGGTGTGTCTTAGCCTATATGGGAGTTCAGTCTTCCTTACATGATCGGATCCATGGTCTTCAGTTTGAGAATGAGACTTTGGTGGTGCTTTTCGATCGGGTGTTAGAGGATGATTTCGATCAAGCTACTTTAGATTTAGATGGGGTTTTGAGATTTGTTGGCCGTAATTGTGTTTAAAAGAGTAGAGGGTTTGATCCAGTTGATGCTTTATGAGGCCCACAATTCTAGATACTCTATAAATCTGGGCACCACGAAGATTTATCGCAATTTTAGGCAGCATTATTGGTGGAGCAGCATGAGTAGAGATATTGCAGGCTATGTGTCTCGTTTCCTGGGTTGCTAGCAGG